CTCTCATAATGTTCACAAATAGCCTGTGGGCTAGTAGAACACTTGTTTTTTAAAAAAAAAAAATTAAAAATCACTGTCTTCATGCCCATGTCCTTCTTTGTGCTGATTTCCTTTGACTTCTGCTTTGACTTTCTGATATTTTGTCTAATGTTTAAAAAAGAACTGTATTTTTCACATCAAGTGGACAGTGACACTACCAACTCTGTCTGAGTATTGCCTTAGACACAAGTACTTGCAGCTTGGATGGAGTGTATGTAACTTAACTGTTACAAATCCAAAAGGAAGGTGAAGGTCTAGATACTAGAACAACTTTTGTTTAACAGTTTGAAATAGGGATTTTAGTAAGTTAATTATTTAGTTACAATGCAAGCTTTACAGTTGAGTACTTTTTCCCAGAATTACTGCTTCTTGAAGCGTTGCCATGTATAATAGGTGAGGAAAAATCTGTCTCACTTTTTCTGTTTTGCAGGACTAAGGTGACTACCTGAGGGGCAAAAAAAAAAAGTCCAATGAAAAAGGATGTTAGTACTTTGGAAAATATACTTCACTTAGAACTATAGCTGACTTTCCACAAAATTGTATTTATTTTTAGATAGTTTTGTTAGTTGGGGAAGCAAGAACAGCATCGCATATGACAACAAAAGAAGAATTAAACCAAAGATAGGTGTGTGACTGAACTTATTTAGTGGTAGCATGCCAAATCAGCAAAATCGCAGGGTATAGAATAGGATGTGCTTGAAACTGTGCCAGTCTACTAAATCATTAAACTTGGGGTTTTTTAATGTCATCTGGGACTGGCTTTGGCAGCTTTAACTCTTTTAAAGTTTAATGCCATGGTGTCCTGAAAACATGATACGGTTTCTTGACACTAACGCATCTGGGTGACAGAAAGCAAGGGTATCTAGTTGTTTGCTAAGGTTAGTGGTGTCATCAGAGTATCTCCCTGATTCTAAATAATACATAGCCTGAAGTACCAATTGCTATAGCCAGTTTTTGCCAGTCTGAATTTGTTGTGACTTCTACCAAAACTTCAGCCCTAAGTGACAGATTTTATATTAACTTAATAAAAGAGGAAACAGGGGAAGACTGCCAAGGCAGGAGTTTGAAAATAGTCTCTTGATTGGCCCACACAAATGATGGGAGGAAGAGTTCTTTCTTTTGACTGTAACAAATAACAAAGACGTGAGTGGAAGATTACTTCTTAATCAAATTAAATCATTCAAACCAGATGGGACTGGCATAGGGAAGCAAAGAAACAAAATGCAGAGAAAAAACAGCTCATCAGAAAAATTCAAACTACTACTGGGAAGTGGGACAAGGCCTTTAGACTCCCCTGTGTCTATTTACTAGCAGCCTAAGCAGCAGAAGGGGAAAAACTGGTTGGTTTTGCAGGCTTGTGGTTGTTTGTTTTTTTTTTTAAAGTGTTAAAATGAAGTTTGATTATGCCACAAGTCTTAATGTACTTGGTCTCTTCAATGGGAAGATAACTTCAGGATGTCTGAGTAAGCTTTGCACTGGCTAGGTACCTGTCCTCTGTGAAGCCTGTGCTTATAGAACATGTCACTATTCACAAGTCACTTTTTTTAAAATCTTCCTAGGGCTGAGAAGGAGCCTCAGTTTAAGTTTATCTATTTCAATCACATGAACCTGGCAGAGAAAAGCACCATTCACATGAGAAAAACACCCAGTGTATCACTTGCATCTGTTCACCCTGACCTCATGAAGATTCTCGGTGACATCAACAGTGACTTCTCCAGGTAGTGCTTAACTATTAAATAGTCTGTAGCTCCTTCTGTCAAGTAGATTTTTTCAAATGAGTGAAGCTTTCATGTCTTTTTGTTCATGGATGGCTATTCATAACTCTATAAGATAACATGGGTCATATTTGGTATTTTGTGTTGGTTCAGAAGTAGTCTGTCTTAAACAAAACTTCTATTGTCCTTTTAAAAAAATAATTTGAAGAAGGGCCAGGGTCTCTGTCCAAGAAACCAACTAATCTATTTGAAGCTTCATAGTAGCCATAACAAACTTAGAAGGGATATAAAGCCTAGTGCTTTTGCACTTAAGTCTGTCTATCTCTAGACAAGTAGTATAAAGGACAGGGAAACCTGCTTCTTGTTTATATTATACCCTCCTCTGAAACAGCTGTCTGCTTTTAGGAATTAGACAATAGATGGAATGCAAACCTTGCATTTACAACAGTACTGCTGATAGAGAAGATAACTGGTTTCTTGTCAATAGGTATCATGCTTTGAGGTGGGAGAGACCCTCTGTCACTATAAAAATCAATACAGAACATGAAAATGCTGAATTATGTGAGGTCTGTAACTCTAATTAGCAACTAGCAATTTTCCCACTCTGTTTAAGGACAGGGCTTTCGTTTTTCTGTACAGGAAAAAAGAATGTTTCATCGTATTGTGGAAGTACTGGGTTAGTGACAGCTTTATGTAATATATCTAGTTGTTGAGCATGATTTAGTTCTAGGTTTAACAATTAGATATGTGAAAGCTTAGTATCGCCATACCATCTCCAACTTTCATTATTTGGTCACTGTGTAGCAAATCATAATTCTATGGAGGATAGGTGCTTTCTTCAGAGCACTGGAGTGTTTGGCTGATGGACAAATTAATGATTTACTCGTCTGGGGATGTAATTGTCCTAAGCAGCCATTTATGAAGCCTTCATCCTGGATTGCTTAATTATGTCTAAGTTAGTTTGGTAGTCTCTCTTTGATACTGCACAACCACAACAATTTATGACATTAAGCTGTCCTAACAATTACAAATAAAGTTGTTGAAGATGAACTTGCTGCCACCTTCTTTACTTTCTAAAACTTCTTTCAGAGTTGATGAAGATGAGGAAATTATTGTGAAGGCAATGAGTGATTACTGGGTAGTTGGGAAAAAGTCTGACCAGCGAGAACTGTATGTTATTTTGAATCAAAAAAATGCAAATCTGATTGAAGTTAATGGTAAGGATTGTTTTTTATTACCTTTAAATACAGTAGTACTAAAATGTATGTCCCTGGAGAAGTAATAAAATCCATCTCACAAGAAATCTAGAGAGTGGTTGATCTATGATAGACCAGGTAAGTTTGCATAGGGTTTTAGTCTGCCTTCTACCAGCTGTGAAAGAACAGCATAAATATTCAGCAGACATTCTTAATAATTAATCAGTCATTATTCCTCCTTCAAATAATAGAGAAGAGCTCTGTAAGCTTAGTTTAGGAGTAATTAATGAAGCATATTAGAGGTGACAGATGAACATATTTACATCTGAATTAAGTTTTATTTGTCAATGATCCATGTTACTTATACATAATGTCTATCCTGTCAGTGATCCTCATTCCATTATTGTCTTGTTTCTAATGCTATTCTGAGAATTATTTACTATGACAAAGAGTCATTAACATTAAGATGCAATAAGCTTTTAAATAGACTAAGAGAAATGGCAGTTTGAGTCCTATTTGCAGCAATTTCAGGGTGCTGTTTTAATAGGAGGCAATGTGCTTAACTGGATGATGGGAAAGAATTAATACTTTTCCAAGACCAAAGACTAGCAACCAAAATTTTAGAAAGAGGAATGAGTTGCATGATTGCACAGTGATTTCTAATTGTCTTCCAGGATCAAACCTGCCATGCAGAAACAATAAATGAGCGTTTCTGTGCCCGATAAACTTAAGTACTGCTATCCCCAAAGCGTTGTCTGCCAAACAGCACAAAGCAAAAGTTTTGCTGACTTGATTTATTGCAACAGGCTACACTAATCCCTCCTTCCCCTGAAAAGGGGTTACAGTATACTTCCTTGTGTGGAAGCTAAGTCTTACACTGCAAACAGCATAAAAGTTTGACAAGATGAATGGCCCAGCAGCAAACTCAAACCATCATTTACACTTTAGCTGCTTAGAACACAACTCATCTTTCAGACAGTGTGAAACATCAGACTTGACTCAACTTTCTCTTACTTAAGACAGAATAAAATTAAGTGTATTTCTAGATTAGAAATGCCTAGATTTTTTTCTGTTTGAATTTAATTATATTCTCCTTGGTAGAGGTTCCTGTAAAATACCATACTGAAATATCTTTTTATTTTTTTTACAGAAGAAGTGAAGAAACTTTGTGCAACACAGTTTAATAATATTTTCTTCTTGGATTGATCTGCAAAGGGCTGATTTATTGAAGATGTCAATGTCAGACACTTGTTCAACATGAAAAGTTATTAGTCATATTATTGACTGGAATAATGACAATAGTAAAGCAATACTTGCTTTGTAAGAATCAAAATTTCTACTAAAATCTGTAAACTCTGATCATAAAATTTTTAGATTTTAAAAATGTTTATGTGCAAACTAATTAAACCAGTCTGAATTCATCTGTACCATTCCATTCTGATATCGTTATGTGAATATTTTACTGGAAAATAAAACTAATAATTGTTACACTTTTAAGGGCATCTTTTTGTTTTCCTGTGTTCATTTGCATCATCATGTGACTTTCTGCTAATTTTCTACAATGTGAAACTAGACTGGTTACAAAAGACCCCTGAACAAAGAACTTTCTAGGTTGACCTGTTTTTTGCAGCTCCTGCATCAGCCTGATTTACATTCTTTATCAAATTCTTACTTGTTTATATGCAGTATTTCAGTCAAATAAACCATGTTTTAAGTAGAAACCATTGAATTGGGACATATGATCATGACAAGATACCAGTTCTTGTATCAACTTAACACTGAGGGAGTTTTTAGGTGCAAATCAAATATGACTTCTGGAATAGTTTTGTTTGAAGGGTTACACTTATGTAAATAACTATATTCTCCTTCCCAAGACCCTTGGTGTAAGAGCAGAGAGTTTTCCTCTGAAACCAGCAAGTCTTGTGCATACAGTTTTGTCTACTTGTATTTTAGACCTTACTGCACATGTGGATCTTTTGTTGTTGGGTTTTTTCTTCTTATTCAACGAGTATTTACTTACTTGAAGCTTCAGTAGTTCTCAACAGAAGATTTATTTCTTCCTTCTCTTTTTGCCAGCAGGCACCTTGGTAACAACTGGGGGTGCCACTATGGGTGCCTCTTCCTTCGGAGGGGGTACTAACTGTGTCATAGGCTCCTCTAACTCCTTGAAATCTGCACTCCTGGAGTCAAATGGTTTTTTTGCCTCTTCTGCTTCTCTTCCAGCAATAAGTCTGAGTGAACAAAGTTTAAATTTAGCGTACTGCAAGAGGGGGCATTTATACTGGCTAAACAGCTACAGCTATATTCACAGCATGAGCAGTATAAACTTATATTGTAGAGAAGCAGAAAATCTGTCTAGTTACCACTTCAAGTCTGACTTACAGTATGAAAAAACTGCCTCTACACAGAGCAGGGCTCAAGTGCCAGGAAGTAGCAGAGAGTTGAGAGTTCTGTAACCTGAAAGCAGCCTGTATTTGTTACTCCCAACAGTAATAAAAGTCATGAGTTACATTCTGTATGTTGCTTATTATACCTGGATGAGTTTGTTTTCCCAGTTACAGTATGCTATACTACTTTATTATTCTCATTTTCAATAATTTTGTTAGTAGAAGATAAGCAATAACAGTACTTAAAGATAAGATACAACAACTCACTTTGCCAGCTCCTCATCCTGGATCTTTCTCAGCTCAGCTAATTCTGCATCCCGTATTTGATTTTCTTTTATTTTTTCTCTCAGCACTTTTTCATGCTGGTAGGCAGGAAAGAACTTAGTTGTAAAAAAGATTTGCACCTGACACATCCACAGACTAAATTCCTCATCTTGTTCAGTTTTGGCTTCTTTTGGTTCATCTGCAACATGTAAATTAAACACGTTTCTTTAGCAGAGCACTTCTATTTCAAATGTGTTTTGGACTACAATACTCTGCAATGGGAAAGTCTGGCTTCTGCACAGTACAGAAGATGACAACTGTGAGAAACTTTTAACTGATGCATGTGAAAGGGGATGGCCCTTTTGTGGGTCTTCAGAGTGACTTGTCCCTGGGAATGGCATCAGAAAAACATGAACTTTCCTCTTTAATCCTATGATAAATGTCTTCTGCAGTAATCTGATGACAGTTCAGTATCCATGACTCCTGTGCGTGCGGGAATAGAGGACCGAACGTGACTACCCGAAAGAACAGAACTGCATGCAAGCATCCAAGTGTCATGACAAAAAATAGGCTAGGGCCCATGTGCTGGTTCTTTAAGAAACAATGTTTTTTCATATCTGTAACTTTTCAGTCATCAGATTTCAGTGAAAGAACTGATGATTACACAAAGATCCTTGTCTACCTATGTTTTTGGATATGGGATCTTTATCTGTAGAAAACATTTAACAAGCACAAAAAACAACACAGGTAAGATCTGTTAATCAGCCAGAAGGGAGACGGTATAAAAAGGTTACTAGCCTCAACATATGAAAATGCTCTTACTGATTTCTCTTCTGCATGAATGCTGGCTTATCATAACCTAAGACATCTTATCCCAGATAATGGTGGCATACCATTAATAATAATTCTTATACTAAGTAAAAAAAGCAAGACATAGCAGTAATATCTTTTATTTGGCCAAGACATTAAAAAAAAAAAAAAAGGGTAGGCTTGCAGATTGAGCTTCTTATAGAGTAAATAAAAATTACAGCTTCTAGATGCACTACAAATAAAATGTGGCATTTTAAAATTGGGGAAACTATTTAAGTCAGTACTTAAACATCTCATTTAATTATTAAGTTTCATTTTCTTTAAAAAATTTCTTTTAAAAATTTTCTTTAAAAATCTTCCTCCAGAATTAATGTTCATTTACTGCCCTCTTGTGACAAGCCAAAATCTACATATACAACTAAAATTTCGCAGTTCAAGAGCTATGAGGGATTTTTTTGTGTTAGTCTTAAAACAGTAAGACTGCTTTACCTGTCAGTTCCTTTGCTGGACAGAAATCTTGTTCTTCTTCTGCATCCCAGATGAACAACGATGGAACATCTTTGATATCTCCATGAGTTGTGTGAAATGAGAGGACAGTATCTGATATTGCAGAGAAAGAAAGTTAGAATTACTCAGTCTGTAATTCTGTGCATTAAATATTAGGTTCGATCTTCAGCACAAATATAAATTGTCATCTGACCTTACAGCTAGACCTGTGGTTGAAATACTTCTGTACTGATGAAAAATTTGTTTATAACGAAGGCACTGTGCAGAGTTCAATCTCCTGTTTCCATGCCCAAATGAGTGGGACAGAACAGGAAGAATTTAGTTTTAAAAAGCCTTTGAGTTATTTTTAAGGAAAATGTGATAGCTTCTGATTAAAAAGCACAAAAAGTTCAGAGACTCAAACTTGCCCAGCTATCTGTGTATAGCAGGTGTGGAAAGCTAAACGTAAACCTTGTCATAATTGCCAAACTGAATGCAGCTACCCTCTGTAATTACAATACATCCAGCTGTTTCAATGATCAGCTACTGTTTTAATCTTTAAAGTTGAAGAAAGAGTGAATCTCCTCTAGCACTGCTGCTTATAGATGCTTATGGTAACCACAGTACTCACCCAGTAGAAATTCTTGAAGAGGTTGCCCTCTGTCTTCACAAGGTTTCAGTGGCTGACAAGAAGTTTCAAATTCAGTTACTAAATGCCTGGACTTGTGTTCAAATTAAAAAGTGAAATCGCATGTCCATTTGACTACTGCAAACTCCTATCTCCAAAGCATTCTGCCAACCGAATGCATTCTGCAATTATGCCTATTTCAAAACATTTAAATTGCAGTAGTGTTTCACACTTTCAAGTATTGCCAAATCGGTCATAACACTTTTACCTTTGATACCAGCCAGAGATATCCTATTTCAGAGCTAGGCAAAGATAGAATGAAAGCTCCTGTTCTTACATGTCCCTCTGTTCTTACATGTTGCTCTACATACTACTATTCATCTGCTTCTGAGGAAACAATAATGAATTTCTATTCCTGACTACAGGAATATACTACAGGAATTATACTGAGTGAAAAGGAGAGAACAACATTCAATACTGTATCTGAGAAGGATGCTTTGAAATCTTTCCAACTGTCATCCCAAGCATATTCTGCAGCCTGATGATGCCACTCTTTGCAGATGAGTGACAGTATAAGCCTCACAAAAACTCACGTCAAACACAATTCTGTTTTGTAAGTGTTGGTATATTTTCTGAAAGTCATGAAGTTTCCAAATTCTCTGTCTGATTTCCACAATTCCAGTACAAACAGTAACCCTTATTATCTTATCCTGAAATCACAGGGGTAAGACAATCCATTTTTGTTCTTGGAATATCAAGAATCTCACATAGTCATACACTGGGTACAAAATTGTAAAGGCAGTGAAGGTGAAAAGTTTGCTGGAAGAATTCTGAAAAGTGTTTTAGGAATTATATTACAGTTACCTTCCCCAGTGCTTCTAAATCTCTCTGCCCACTTCTCAGACTCTCACTCCCCACCTTGCAAATAAAAATAAAACTGTAGCTTTATTCACCACTGTTTTAGTCAACGTAGACGATACCACCCAATATTCTAAATAACAATAGCTGAGGGTATGTGTGGGAGCAAATGCTTTGTTAGCAATGGAAATGCACCACTTCTAGGCTCATACATGGATCCAGGCATGGGAGCACATTGTATTTAATATTAGATGAAATTCTAGTCCCTTTCAAAACTTAAAACTACCCTGCCTACTCCGTCACCCATGAATTGCAAACTCTCTGCTCCATCTTTCAGTGTGGGCTTTTTACATACCTCATGTTTCTTCATTTCGTCCTGTGATATGACACTTTTGCTTGAAGACAACCATGAACAAGTGTAAAGCTCAGCTGCCTCAGAAACGTCATCACTGATGTGTGTATCAATTATACTTCTGCTGTAAGTGCACTAATAAAAAGTAAACACAAGAAGAATTTTACATTCAATATCATTTAAATTAAGATTTTCTTTTAGTCTTGGAAAATCTGACTATTACAACCAGACCATTTCACTGTGCAACTGCATTAATGCTTGTAGTGATGCAAGGGAATGGGTTCCATAGGATGGGAACAATTGGCCAGAGGACGGGAAGTGGTGGCGTTCAGTGCCCCTACTGGCTTACAGAGACTGTGAAATTAGGTGTTTCTGAATGCTCTTTGAATTAACAAAAATACTTTCATCTTGTGCATAATTCTGAATAATAACAATTCTAAGTCATGCCTTCAACTACCCTATGCATCTAAATTGCACCAGTGTCACAGGCAGCATCTTACAACCTCCAAAATCCTTATTCAAAAGTTTAGCAAAAACAGAGCATAGCTTAACTGCTGGGAAGCAGCAAGTCTTGCTACATACAACAACTGCAATGTCATTTTTACAGGGCAATTTTAGACATTCAATTTAAAGCAGGAGAGGTATATCTTCCATCAGTTAACCAATCTGCCAATTCCCCTTTTAACACCAGAAGACTTGCAAGTACTTTATATGTATTTATAGTTATCTAGGAAAATGTGCAAGTGTGTTAAAACTGTGTATACTGATGTTACAATCTAAGGTAGCAACAAACAGGAAAAGCAGAAGGACCCAATCAAATGACTGTTTATGCAAAGAGAGGAAATTGGTTTCTATGTTCAGGAAACATAGAACATTCACAGGGCCTGACTTCGCCCTCTAAGTGGACACATAATAATATTTAACAGGTCTGCATCAACTTTACCTGAGACAGAGAATATTCTGGGTACAGAGACACATTTGTGGTTCCCTCAGAGAGACCCTCGATTCTAAAGCTACTTCTTTTCTGATTATCACGATCCACTTGCTCCTTAATCATATCACTGGTAACATACACCAACGCACAATCAAGAAGAGCTTCAACAAATTCAAGAAAAACCAACTAGAGTAAAACAAACACAGTGATTAATTCATTCATTTTTTCAAAATCGCTTCATTAATGGGCATATGTACCTGAGCAAGCAAAGAACTCAAAAGTGATTGTTTGTGAAGCCTCAATGGCCTCATTTATCTACTCAAACATCCCTTCTTCTGAAAAAAAATTGAAAACAGACAAAGCTCAAAAAATTCAGGAGGTGATATACTGTGTTATGCATTATGCAAGTCATATTGAAATAAAATACTGCATACATTTTTGCTGTATCTGGAGTTACGAGAAATTTCTCTAACAAATAACACACAATTATTGCTATTACCTAAATTGTTTAATTGCATACGATGCTTCCAGAAATCCCAAAAATGGGTGTATAATGAATCCTTTAGTAAGACTTACACTGTGTTTTCAGTTTATCAGATAGTGTTTAAAACAATAAATTCAATTCTGTCATTCACAATAGACCATCGCTGAGTAAGAGCTAATTCTTTAAGGGTGAAGGCCCTCTATAGCAGGCCAGCTGTCAGGTAGCACAAGAGTCTTCTACAGTCACTACTCGACCTCACTGAGGTGGCAGCACTTCACACGTCACTACTCAGGTTTCCTGGATCACCAGACTTTCACAATCAGTGGTTCACATCTTAATTATTGACCCATCTTAACATTTCCAGTGCATACCTTGGCAGCTGAAGTGCTGAGATTCATCCCTACGTAATCACTGCATACACATATTGTCAGGCAACTGCCCCACAGACAGAACTATTACTAGCAGCAGTCTCCTAGAAATGGTATTTCACCCTCTGGGTTACGGCACTCTTAATGAGTTATCTGCATGGTCATGTATGCTGAGACTGTACTAAAAAGGGTAAGATAATAAACAAAACATAGAAGTACATGAGCTAATCTAGAAGATACAGGCAGAACAAAGGAAGACAAAAATAGAGGCTCAAGTTTGTACTCTTTTTTTTTTTTTAAATAAATTAATTCATTTTGCTCCTGTTCTAGCAAATAGGACAGTATTTGCAGCATTTTTTAAAAGTAATTTTAATTGTTCCTGTAGCAATCAACTATCGTATGGTTTTTTCCATACACACCTCCTGCTCCAGGTTGGTACTACTGCTATCATGTAGAGAGGGCCCATCTTTGACAAGTATTTCCACAAGTCTTGAAGCAGTTAATTGTTTGCTGAGAAGTTTAAAATCCTGGGTAAGAGTAAATGTTACATGTTAACAGCAGTTAAGGCATTCCCACGTGTACCTAATCTAACTCCCTTTAAAGCCTGTGTCAAAATTTCTAGTGGTTTCAAATGATACTTCCACATATGTAATTAACGACAGAGTGAAATTCTGGCCCCATTGAAGTCAATGGGAATTTTTCCTAAACTGCAAAAACAGTGTTAAGAAAGAACTTGTGAAAGCTCATAAATAAAAATATTAAAAATTACAATTTTGCCACCTGATATTTTTATTAATTTTTTTCATGAAAAAAGGCTTGGATTTAAACAGTGACCCAAAACCCAAGCATATCAATGGGAATTGTTCCCTAGCTTCAGCGTAATCTTGATCTGTCCCTGAACTACTGGATTTTAGTAAAGAATCTCATGTTCATCTTGCAGTATATTAAATTAATACATAATTAAAATGGTTTATTGTGTTATTTCAAAAGACGCCAGCCTTTGAGTTCTACCAGTAAGACATTTTCGTATATCCATTTTACAGGATGGGGGCGGGGGGAAAAAGCCAGCAAAAATATTTATATTCCCTTAAAACACATCTGTCTAAGATTTGATTATTTGAAATTATCAAGTACAAAATCAGAACTCAATCCTGCAAAAGTACTATATAAGTTCTATAGAACAACTGTCCCTTTAATGTTTGTTGACAGTTTGTACAAATAACATTGCCCCTACCTTTTCAACTATGCAGAAGCAACAGGGAGTATTTTAAAATGCTCATATAAACTGAACAAATAAAGCCCATCTAATCACACAAAATAAAAAAAAGTTGATTACATTCAACATCCAAAGGAAGTGCCTCATTTTCATTGTGGGTTCAAATGGAGGTCTGGTACTCGGTCTACGAAAAGCTCTGTATATTTCCCAGCATTTGTCGATGTAGCTCATGGCAAAAACTGTACATCGTTCTTCAGAAAATAAGATACCTTTAAAAATTAATTGGGAAAAAATAACAGTTACAATAAAACTGTGATGTATGTGGTACTAATTGATGAATTCTGCACAACACAGAAGAAATACCACTACTTACCTTGGATACGACAGGCAGTGGGAGTAACATTCTTGGACATCATTTCTAAGAAACACTTATGCAGATAAGGACCTTTATCTCTACAATTGAAACAAAAATACTCTTGTCTGGGAAGACTCAAACTGATTACAGTGAAATAAATTTCACTAAAAGATGAAACTTACTTGTGCTCTTCATGATAGATATGAAATGCTAGACGAATAAGGTAAGACAAAAACGTTCTGAACAGTAAAGTCTCATGTGGACAATGTATCTCCTCAAGTGGTGTTTTATGACCTAAAGAATTTGACAAAATAAATCTGTATTGCTATCATGTACTTTAAAATGCTTATAGGCATATTGACTTGCCAGCCTTTCTTATCCTCTCCATCTCTATCTATCACAGTGTAACAACACTCCTGGAAGAATCAGACCAGACACAGCATCGCTTCCAAACAAGTAGGTCAAGGGGGAACTGTCCACCTGTAGCTGAATCTTACCAATTTTCCTCCTTCTAGAAATGCATCCACTTAGCATACAGGAATGAAAGGGGAAGCAAACTTGGAGTTAAACCCTTCACATACTAGGGACTCTGCAGGGCATCCCACTGCAGGTCTAAATGGAACTGATTGATTAACTGGCTCTATGGAAGAAAAAAAAAAACATAGTACATGCAAACCAAAATTAAGAGCACTGGAAAAAAAAAGAAAAAGATTTGTGTCTTCTAGCTCTCTTTTTCAGACCTCTTAAAACTACATGTAATAGTAATGGCAAGACCAGGGGTGAATACAATTTTTGAACAGATGGCTCTTCAGAACAATTTTTAAGTGGTATTTTAATTTTGCATTTTCTCACTTAAGCCTTTTCTCACCTGAAATGCCTGGAGAAGTGTTAATGCATCCACTGAGAACTCACAGGCACAGAGGTACTCACTCAGGGCCACTTAACTACCAGAGTTAAGCCACTCCAACTCTCCACAGCTTACTATTAAAATTCCTAGATTCTAGACCCCGATCAACAGAAATACAAACCACTCAATATCCGATCCATTTCAGCAAGAGTTATGTTGGAGTGATGAAACTGGCAGTCCTTCAGAAATCTCCAAAATTGGAGCTTAGTCATGAGGAAGGTGTTGTCAAGAGAATGATCACAGCCTAAGCTGCTGTAGAAGGTGTAAACTCTTCTCAGTTCTGTAATATGCCTCAACACAGCAAATTCTACCTAAATAAAGCAGGATATGTTTTCAGCATCGTCTCACAGCAAGTAGGGATTAGCTTGTATTGATCCTGTAACTGGGCATATAATGCTTTTGACCTTGTAACTTCGAAGAGCATATCCTTGGCTAAGTGTTCATGAGAACATTACTCAAACATAGTTACAATACAAATTTTTCAGTGACTGATAAAAATAAATCAGTCTCTGTCAGCAGACAAACCTCACAGTAGCTAAAGGTAGTTGCTGAATGCCCTTCCAGATATGTTAACATATTTTTTGTTGTCTTCTAGTGGAAGCTCAGGAAGAAGCAGTACTCTCTATTCATTCTTTTTGCTTTTCTGTTTCCGTGGCCTTCAGATTTTCGAATAATTCTTTAATGGAAAGAGTTACTTTAATACAAATAAACCAGAAATAAAATAATATGAAACACACTGCGGGGGAAAACTGAAAATATCAAACAGTAGACTCTTACTTGTTTCACTTCTTCATGTCTCTCTTCCCTTGGCAACAAGTCAAGCAGTGAAGATATATCCAACTCAATATTCGATCCCAGAATAGAAGTATTTTCTGAGCCATTAATGATGGTGATGTTTTCTACCATGCAAATAAAATAAATTAGAACGAACTAAAATGAAGTTTAATATATGTATATATATACACACACACACAGAGAGGGAAAATAAAACATGTTATTCCTTCTTATCTTACTGACTTCAAACTGAGATAATAGACTCCTTTGTAGTGAGGAGTAGAGATTTCATAATCAAAAGCATAACAACTGAAGAGTAATTTTTTCAAATCCAACCCCTAGCCAGAAGGAAATGCAGGTATTACATAAGCTATAAAACTTTTAGACAACAGTGTTCCAAAAGCATTACAAGATGTATTGTGGATGTGTCATTCAACTCAAAGTGTCATGCACACAGGAAACAAGAAGCATGGGAGCAAAAGTCGTTAATAATTAAGATAACTCCCACCTTCATCAAAGTTCTTTGAAGAAATATGTCTGGCTTTTGAGTAAGTACAAACAGCTTCACATTATAGTAAAAAGGAATAACAAAATCTGAACCAAGGAGAATTTGTTTTCTTAAGCTGCTTACCAGGGCCAAAATGACTTCCTGTGCAAATGGCATTCAGCTCTTTTGCATTCATTGCATCCACTTGAAAAGCAGGATATTCTACTATACGATCATCTATGAACTCTCCTTCATAAATATGACCATTCTTGAAGACAAACTTGCCCTATAGACAGATTAGTTTGATTAATTTCAATATAAATATAAATCAAAGATCAGAAAAAATAACACTAATGCTCTCAATCAAATTTCCTTTTAAGAATCTTGGCTAAAACACAATATATGAGATAAAATAAAGCGAAATAATTTTTCCTACCCTCTTTTAAAAAGTACTTTATAAAAGTATTATCTGTAATTAAAGTACACTGCCAGGATGAAGAATTGCCTATAGATCTGTTTGATTCTGAAAAGTATTTTGAGGAAAAAAAACACCACCACCCCCCCCATATAGGAAGACTTGTTTGCAATCTTTAGTTTGTATATGTGGCACCCTGCTCGCAGTTTTTTTTAACACAGTCTGTTAATGCGAGAACACCTCTGTGCAAGGATAGCTTGAAATCCATTAGCTCATAGTGTAAAAGTACTGACCAACCACTGCAAAAATCAAGATGCACCTATTGCACCAAAAATCTCCACAGTAAAACGTATTTCTTTACACACACAACACACATCTAACCACAGAGTCCAATCCGTGGCCCAGCAAGGTCCTTGGAAGGACTCCTGCTGCTTTCAGTGGACTCTGCCTTTTATGCTGGGATTCCATCCACAACACAAATTGAATGTAGTTTTCCACACAAAAGTCTAGAGCTCCACTATACAGAGCAGAACAGTCTCCTCTGGTGTTGTCTGTAGTTTTGTCTTACTACTTGTCAATACTCACCTTGCCATGCTTCTTATTACAAACCCATTCACCATCGTACACTGCTCCACCGGCATATATGAACTTCCCATGTCCATGTCGTTCCCCATTTACAAAATCACCTATGTATTCATTCCTTAAAGGATACTGAGACACAGGCATTCTCTTCAAAAACCATATGTGGGTGCCATATCCATGCTAAAAAAAAAGTGTTTTAAAAAAAAAGTCTCCAGAAAAGCTACAATTGCTACAGGTACAGACTTTTAAAAAAGAGAACCACCTAGGCATCTTTAAGAGTCACTGTTGGCAAATCTCTTAAATAAAAGCACCCACTTGATAGCTGCAGTACTTCAAACCATCCATACTCATACTTCAAACCAACTATACTCTACAAAGGTGCAAGGGAGAAGCACTCAGAGGATACACCAAATCAACACATACTTGAGCAAGCTCTACCAACAGGACTCCTAACGACATCCTTCCTGCCTGAATTCTTTTGACTGTAATGCTGAACAGCCAGGTGAGGAACACCACGCCAGACAGAGAGCCACGATGTTCCAGAAGCTGGACCCCTTGACAATTTTATGCAGAGTGAGAAGACAGAGGAAGTAGCTCACATTCTTTTTCCAATAAAATAATAAATGGAAGGAACAGAAAATGCGAGAAATCTTCTCCTTCCATCATAAAACTTTTACAAGAGGGACCAGTGTTGTCTAACATTTTACAGATGACACAGAAGCAAATTGCCACATATACTCACGGCTGAAGTCATATCTCAAGCTAATTATAGTCACAAACATTTAACTTTTTAAACTTTTTTTTTTCATGAAAAATGTTTATATTTGCCATTAGAGAATTAAATTACAATTTTGTAAGACTAAGTCAAAAGCCTTTTAAAAATTTGAATATTGCTAACATGAGAATCAACTTACAATAAACAGCATATTTCTACTATCTCAGCTGGCAAAAATCATACAAAGCTCCTTTGATACTGTACAAAACTCCCTACCTAGTTTTATCAGAGTAATGGACAGATGCTGAACTAAAGAGGTTGCTGGGGAAGAAATTAATACCTGTATGCCATACACCCACTGTCCCATATACTCTTGATTAGCTGTTAACCATCTCATTCTTCCTTTTCCGTGACGTACATTTTTCTCCCACTGACCTTCATAGATATTTCCAGACTTATAGCTGCAAGAAAACAATAAAAGTTAATGACTCATTCACAGTAAATTCTGAGCGGATCTTACGAAAGCAAGGTTTATGCAAAACTTCATTGCTAATAAACTTAGCATTTATTAATGCTAAATATAAGCAGTAATTTGAAGGTTGGCTCACTGTGACATGGATATAGAGGTTTTATTGTACCCACTGTTTACCTCCTATTTTTAACTTACAAATCACTGTAAAAATATTAATCAGTTCTTTTTTTCCAAAGAGTCTTCGCCATAGCTAATCAAAATATTCTTTTGTATATAATTCCACAAATAATTCATTTATTTATGAAAGCAGCTCCATCTGTTCAAGTCAATTGAGTTTATTTGGTTTTAAATGTTGATTTGTGGTTTACCAAAGCTGATTTTGGATTTTGCCTTTAGACATTCTTTTGTGGGAATGATCAGCAGAAATATACCAACAGAAAAATATAAGCAATAGAGAAGGTCTATTTTATTATTATAAAGCACTTTGTACAATTATTTATTCCACTGCAGAAAGTACACACTACTATGAAATGATAGCATTTGTATCCATTTTAAACAATAGGAGAAAGAGTATGACAATACATGTAAAATAAAAAAATACGAAGATAAGAACAAGTGTTACGTTTACCATCTGATTCCCCATCCTTCTTTGACGTTATTTACCCAGTCGCCTGAATACCAAGAGGTATGTTCTTGATCATAATATATGGTACCCTGAAACAAACAGTATAGTCAATTTAAACAACTAAATATTCATCTACATTAATAAAACATTGCATACAAATTATATAAGACACATCTAATTACGCTCTTACTTCTAGTCACTTTGAGACACTGTACTGTAAGCAACTGAAGTGATAAAATTAAGTAAAAAAGCAACCTCTTTCGATGAATACTAATTAACACCTTAAAAAAGACCAAGTGTTCAAAAAAAAAAAATCATACTACATTAGATCAAAGTCTACCATGTTTTTCAAACCACTTGGAAATACTTTCAGAGAACTAACTTCGGCAACTTAATCACAGTAGTCACTCTGAGGTAGATCCGTTTTCTGACTCGTTCAGAATTCAACTTCCAACAGTAGGTCTACAGCATTAATTGTTCTGTCTTTCTCTATCTGATAGCTTCTTCTCAGAACAAACTGGACAGACCATTGCACTGGTGACCATCCACAGCAGCCTCTGTGATTTTAGTGTCTCATTAGTGACACAGAACAAAAAAACATGTGATTAGAATGGATTTTCCTCACATGCCGAGCATCGGTCTTCAAAATGTCAGGCCCAGAAGAGTGTCTCAATCTGGATGCACACAACAGAGACACATAAAAGCTCTACTTGCCTTTAAAAATTGGAACTAGATGTTACTTACACTAGAAAAGGCAGTCTTAATTGTAATTAGCATACTTGGTCTGCTTAACACATTTGGGAGGGGGGATCACTTTGTCATTACTGGGAAGCTAATTGTTCTGTCATTGTTACATGGCTACTGATGCAATCATCAGTTTTGACTTTGTCATCATCTTACTTGGAGCAGCATAAAGGACAAACCACATAATAGGCCAATTACTCTTTTAGGATACCATTCATGTCTTCCACTACGAACAAGATCCCATCCCAATTGTTTTAATTAGCATTCACAACTTCAGAGAAGATCCTTAGAAAAAACAGATCTCTACATAGCATAAGACCATGCAACCGCACAACACATTTTTGCAAAACCTTTCCACAAGAATGCTTGCTGTTCTAGAAGACAGTCACCCAAGACTATGCTCTCATTTGTTCTTACTTACCTTTCCATGTCTTTTGCCTTTACACCAATAGCCAATGTAAGAAACAGGACGAGTACCACTTCTGAAAACTCCAAATCCATGCCTAACTCCATTCTTGATTGATCCTTCATAAAGGCTGCCATCATTCCATGTATAACGGCCATTAAGCATCTGCACATTTTTAACAAATGTTCCCTAAAAGATTAAATTACAACATTTAAAAAATTAAAACTCAGTGTTCCCCAACCATCTAGGAGAAATCAGGCTTGTGATTGAAATCACTGCCATAGTTCTGCAGTTGCCACCCATACTACACCGATGACTGCAACTTATCTAGATTCCTTGAATTTGCACATCTAATTGGCTGTAATTGTGTTCAGTTATAAGTTAAATTGCACTTTACCTCGTACTTTACTCCATCAGCCCATGTGTAAGTCCCTTGCCCATGCATAAGCCCTTCAGAAAACATGCCCTTCAAAATAAAGAGAACAGCATCATTTGCAAATTTATTCTTACAGTTGAAGCCTACAGTTGAAGTGACTGTAAGATTTCAAAACAATGACATATTAATTCCCCTCAACTACTAGTTTCAAATGAAGTTTTAATGTCAGGAATCAACAGAGCTTTCAATGCTTACACATTCTAAGTGCTCAACCTCCACCTACATTAAAAGAAATAGCCTGCCTGTTCTAGAGAAAGAACTTGATCCACTACTTTTTTTTTTTATTTATACACTCACCTTATATGTATTTCCCCCCTCAAAATAAGCAAATCCTTCACCCTCATACAATCCATGGACTTTTTCACCTTCATAGCTACAAGGAAAACAAACTAAAGATTAAGATTTCAAGTCACTGCCAGTAGACCTAAGTCACAACAGACATATAATAAATGACCTTTGATTTACCATGGTCTACACACAGGCCAGTTGTTGCATCTTGTGTAGAAAAATGAGCTACAACAAAATTTCCAATTTTTTGCATCTTCCTTGTAATATTTCACGTAATTGTTGTGTTGTCTCAAACCCATATTTATTTCAATTAAGAAAACAAAGCACACTGGTAGCATTTACTAGCTTACAACCAGGCAACCTGGTCAGTATGTGAAACATTACATATAGTCCCCTTGAACTACCAAAGGATTTGGTTAATACTGCCATTCACGTGTTTCCTCAGGTTAGGATATTTTTAAGGGATATGAGCTGCCCTAAACATTAAAAGGCAGCAACTGCTGAACATTAAATGACAGACTACATTTTCTTCACCAACTGTCTGTTACTTAGACCAAACTTCACTGTAAGTGAACAAGCCAAAAGAATGAGGCTTTTGGCAAGCAGAAAGCACCAGCAACATTCTAGGATGCAAGAAGGCAGCAGAATTCCACGTGTATCAGTCTCGCAGGGTCACAGCTACTAGGTCTGAATAACCTGATTCACTGCCTCAAATCAAGAGTCAAATCTGTGTTTGTATGACACTGGGTACACCAGAGATACTTAAATGAGAATTCTTGACTTCACTGACGTACTTGTAACAAGCATACCTTTTTACGATAACTTGAGTAAGAACAGGCTCCTCGTAGTATTGAGGAACATCTTGGACTGGAGGTTCTTCTACCTCCTCTGGTTCTTTATCTGATATCACTGGATTTGCCTGTGTTTCTTCCACTCCATTCACTAAGGTCTGCAGATCTGTCAGCTTTGTTGAACTACCCTCACCTGTAGTATCTTGTGCAAGAATAGGAGGACGTACAGTTTTTTCTGCCTTCTTGCCATCTTTCTTCTTATCCTTTGCCATAACTACTGAATTGTCTCAACGTGTATTTTCCTTCTGAACGTTTACTGTCTCACGTAAAGATTTTTTCCCCTATAATCTATTTGATTAAAAAAAAAACCAAAAACATCTAACTACATGAAAAATTATCAATCTTTTCTTAATTATTATATAACCGTGTATTTTAAGTTATTTCTGTAATAACAGTTCCTCAAGGCAGTGGTTTCAGCTTGTGGTAGGCAGACTGCAGGGCTAACAGGAAGCGATGCCTGTGAATTACCTCTAAGAAGTCCATCAAAACCACTACGATAGAAGTGTTGTGAATAGACTTACTTTTGCTACACGGAGGTCTCCATCTTTACTAGAAGATTTTTAGGTGTCTAGATTTGATCATGTGGAAATCTGAAAACCATTTCTCAAATATATGAGTTTGGTGAGTTTCTTGAAAGTTATAGCTACACTAGTATTAACTTGCTTCCAAAAGTTATGAGTTGCAGATTGAACCACAACATAGAATAACCACTATAGCTTATAAAAATATTTTGCCAGTTAAGAGCTACTTGAAGGTTACAGGACTGCTTGAACAGCTGTAATCACAATTCCCACTCATTCCATAGACTGATCACCACTGCTTTGTAATACAACAAGAATCAAATCCGCGTGCTGCAGTGGCGAGGGCTGACAGGTACAGCCTCAAGCAACCACCGCCATGTTCTCACCACTGCTTGCTTCCAGCCAGCGCCTCGTTCAACTCGGGCGATCACAGTATCGGATCAATTGCGCTCAGCCTGCGCGAAGGGCCCGAGTGGGAGAGCGAGGGGCGGCGGAGCCCGGTGCTGGAAGCCCTTCCGCCCGCAGGGCAGCG